CTTTGCCTAATTTCTAAACTGTGCGAACTACGTGCTTTTCCCATTATCAGCTTTTCTCTAGGCTAACATAGGGTAATTGACTTTCGATTTCTTGCGAAAGACTCACTGCTTACAGCCATTGAATCCTGTAATGAGCCCAAAACCATGATCGTGATGAAACACCACATCTTTTCATTTAGATAGGTTCAGGTCAAGACCGGTAGTGCTACATGGACGGGAAGATGATGTCCTAACATACCTGTTAAACATCTAAGAAAGCATCGTTGAGATGTTTTTGCCTGTCGTCTACTTTCTAAAAGGAAGAATGATAAAACGTTCAGAGAAACCAGTTGATGTCAGCAAATGAACAAAAATTGTACCCCTTGTGGTTTTCAATGACCAAATCTGGTGGACGTTTGTCGTTTTTTGCATATGACACCTGTAGATTTATGCCACCATAAAATGGAAGAAAAAACGCTAGGCCTGCAGCAGTTTGAATGCCGCTATTTCTTACATTTACATGATGGGGCTATTTGTGGGGTCTCTTTTCATGAAGTTAATGGCGGGGCGCTGATCACTATTTCCATGCAGTCAGTTGGGAGTGCTCTATTTTAGAGGCAGAACCGACTGCAGTTATGCCCCAAAGATGTTTATTCTTCTCTTTCCTTCCCACAGACATGTACTCATTTATCAGCCTCAGAAAGAATGAACGTAGACGAGTGATTCGACCGAGGCTCGAACTCGGGACTCTCGGTTCAGATTCTGACGCTTTGTTGACGAGCAACCACATGACCAAATGCCACGATGACACAGAACAAATACTTGGACTTCCCGGTAAGTATTGACGAATCAAGTCTGCTGCATCAGGCCGGTTGTTCCTCGCTGTTTCGAAGCGCCTCTCAAAGCTCATCTTTCCTGGCTCCTGATATAATCTTCCCACCGTCATTATAGCGACCAGGCGACCTATTCCGCCTGCGAGGGTGCCAATCAGCGATCATCTCCCGTCGGTGACCTGATCTACGTGCCCAGCAAACCGCAGTTTTTCCATCCTGCTTTCGTCGACGACGATGTTCTTAACTACCATCCTGTCTGATCACTTTGTTGGAGGTGTGGACGCAATGTGATATTTCCAACATCTTTCCATGACTCTCCCTGTAACTGGTAGCTGACCCCGTTCAGTTTTAGCGAGTGACCAAGTCTCACAGCCATACAACTTCGCCGGCAGGAAGTTAAATGAATTGAAATGGTGGTAGCAGGTTTCGATAAAATGTGTAAAATCGATACTAACTTGAAAATTGTGCTCAAGTACATTCTGCCTATTGTTTTTACATGAACCTGGTTAATGTTTAGTTGTGGACGAGTGCTCGAAATGGCTGAAAGAAGCTGGATTCACTGAATTGTCTGATGGAAAGCAGTGGAAGCTGAAACCAGGATCAAAAGTAGTTATTTTGTTTAATATTGTAGCTTTCTGACATTAAACGGCCCTTCATAAATGCCATATGTTTGTTTATCTTGCATTGTGGTGGCGTGTTGGCAAACTTATTTAGGCGTTCTGCTTCGAACTCCGAAGGTGATGGTCCGATTCCACTTAAGGACAGCCTTTGTCCTATTCACGAATTCCCTTGAGCAGGGAGCTGGAAAATGCTGAGTTGCGGTCCATGACCGTTAGGTTTGTTTGCTCTTCTTCTGTGGCCTTCATAGGGATCGTCAGGTTTATTTTTTATCGGTTAACATTTTTGGCCCTCAGAAAGATTGTT